ACCAATATTATTATTATTATTTATACCAATATTAATATTATTATTGTTATTATTATTTTTAATTATTATCATTAATATTATTATTAATATTATTATTATTATTATTGTTTTTATTATTATCGTTATTATTATTATTATTATTTTTATTATTATCGTTATTATTATTATTATTATCGTTATTATTATTATTATTATTGTTGTTATTATTATTATTATTATCATCGTTGTTATTATTATTATTATTATTATTATTATTATTATTATCGTTATTATTATCGTTATTATTATTATTTCTATTATTATTATTGTTATTATTATTATTATTATTAAATTTTTATTTTTTCCAAATATAAATTATAATTATGGATGCTAATACCAACCCCAAAACAAATAGAAAGCAAAAAAAAAAAATTGGGTCAAAATATGATCCCGAATCAAGCTAATTTTCCTCCAATTCACCCAAATTTTTCACAAACATCCACAAATATTCCCCATAATTTTTCTGGAGTTTATCCTCAAATACCCCAGTCAAGTTTCCCATATAATCCACCAAATTTCCCTCAAAATTTTAATTTTTCTCAAAGCAGTTCAAATTTCCCACATCCATCCATGGTACCAATGGGTTACGGTGAATATGGTGCTGCATCTGGTTATTTTCCGTCACAACAACCGAATCCCAATATTTGGGAATCGAGCAATGTCTTATCTGAAGAAGATGAGGCAAATGAAGAATGTGAGGATGATGGTGAGGGAAATGAAACTCCTTCTCCCCATCAAAACTTCAGTCAAATGTTACAGCAACCACTCCAATCAACTCCTGAATATCGTGTTGGTGGTTCAAACAATAGAGGTTGGTCGCGATCAGAAACTGCGGCTCTTATATCCGGCTACATGAACACCAGCACCGACATAATTATCGGCACAAATCAAAAGAAGGGTGTATTTTGGAAGAGAGTCTTGGACGCATACGATGCTGCCAGGGAATCGAATCCAGATGAAATATCCCTACGAACTATTAGTAGTTTGAAGGGAAGGTGGATGCGAATCTCTGAAGCCGTGTTAAAGTGGTGCGGAAGCTATGATAAGGCCCGGAAGCGAAAGGGAAGTGGCTATAACGAAGATGATGTTATCCAAGAGGCCCACAAAATCCATGAGAACTCGTTCGGACGATTCACCTTCTACGAGGAATGGATCCAACTAAGGAAGTGGGACAAATTCCGGTCTTTCTTGGACCAACCTTCTACGAGAGACGTATCAAAATAACGTTAATACCAATGAGTTTATGAATGCTGGAGGGAACGCTAATGAGGACACTACCGAGTACCGTACTGATCGTATTGTGGATATCGGCTTATACTTGTCTCGTAGAACAGAGATTGAGGATCAACAGACTCATTTGCAGCTAAAAAACGACTTGGTCGAACATATATGGAATAAATTTGGTAACAACGAAAACTTAGGCAACTAGGTTTACAACAAATGGTTATCCCTAAGGACATCTTACAAAACGATGTGTAGTTGTGTTTTTTTTTTAAATAAAATGTACTAGATTATAGTTGTAGAACTGTAATCACGATTTGTACCTCCTTTTTTTTATGTTAATTAAAACTAGCTGCGTTGTTGTTTAAAAAATATTAATCACAAGAATTAATTTTTTAAAAAGCTGATAAAAAAACGCGATAATTTCTTAATTAGTAATCACGATTAAAATATTAAATACGTCAATTAATTACATTGACATCGGTTAATAAATTATAATTATGAAACAAAAAGATTATATTTACAAAAATAAAATAAGGTGGGGTAGGGAGTATTGATGATGAACCATTGTTTAGTGTTTATTGTTAAGAGTGAATATTGTAAATGGTTTGTTGGGTTGATGTGGATGAGAGAGAAATGGTGATAGTGACCCATGAACCATTTTTTTTTGTTCACCAATAATGGTGCTCTAAGGAAGGGTGGACCCACCTATGTCAGCAGTCAACAATTTACGAGGAATTCTCAAGCTATAAGAACTTTGGTCCAAATGGACTCTAGAGAAGGGTGGACCCCACCTATATCAACAGTCAACAATTTAAAAGCTTAAAAAAAAGGGAGGACAATGATGTAGGTCATGTGTGTCATATTTTGTCCCAAAATTTTCTCATTCTTCCCCTTAATTCACAAAATTTTTGATCCTCAATTTTTATTTTTATTTTTTTGCAAACAATTAAAATCAGCAAAATAATTTGGTTTCCCATTGAATTCCTTCCAATTCATTGTTAGGAGTTGGAAGATTTCTCAGGATCTAGAACTTTAGTCCAAACAGACTCTAGGAAAGGGTAGAAAAGTAATTGTCTTTTTATTGGTATTATGAACCGTTTAAGTAAACCCATAAACAGATTAACATGTACGTTGGTATGGGTTTACTTAAACGGTTCATTCAGTTGGTATGGATTTACTTACTGTTGATATATCTATCTATGTTAATAATACCAATAAACAGATTAACATGTACGTTGGTATGGGTTTACTTAAACAATTCATTCAATTGGTATCATCTAATGTTAAACCTTCGTGTATTCTATGCAGCCACGTTCCACATATCTTGGAATATTTGGAGAATGGAAACCTTTGATTATCCACCCTATTGCATTTAACTACTTGTAATGGACTGTAATAGTTAATTAAATTTTATGCTTCTGGAATTATTGTGTAAGACTTTTTGTGCTCTCTTGATTATGTTATTGTTTATGACTTATTATGTAAGGCTTATTGTGATATTGTGCAAGACTTATTATGTTATTGTGTAACACTTTTTATGTTGTCTTGATTTTATAAGAATTATTGTAGTGGTTTATACTAATTATGTTCAAAAATTGTACTACCCTGTCCCTGGTGGTATGGTATCAAAACCTATCTGATTGGTATAGTATCATGTCCCTGTTGGTATATATTCCAATTTGCATGGTAGATAAGACATACCAATGGAATGTACCTTCTCTGACATAAATGAATTGATACTCCAACCGACAATATTCAGGAGGGGGGATCCACCACTTTAATTTCGATAATTTGCTCCAGCAGACAAGATTAGAACAAGGGGGTTCACCACTTAACTTTTTCTCTTCAATAAAAAAGATAATTACTTTTCTACCCTTCCCTAGAGTTCATTTGGACCAAAGTTCCTAAACCCTAAGAAATCCTCAAAGATGTAGTGTCTTGCTTTAATAATTTATTCAATTCCGGTAATACATAAGAGAAAATCTTACAAGTAGTACTGTAGTTTTCCTTTATATATTTTATATATTTAAGACTAATTATTACATGTAATGTAGTTAATTATTAGATGATAAATTTTCAATAGAAGATCAAATTCTACAACCAAGCAGACAAGCATGCTTGGTGGATGTGATAGAGAATTCTACATACTATATATATTTTCTTGAGATTAGAGGATTATCTTACCTTTCTCATTACTTTTAAGCGTTGACCCGTATAGCTGAGAGTGCATGGAATGGATACATGATAGAAGAAGAGTTGCAAGTTTGCAACTTGCAAGTAAACAAGGAGAAGTCAGTTTCACGGATTTCATTGTCTATGCCAAGTCAATTGGGCAACTACGAGTTACGACTACTAAAATTTTTATATACTTCTCCTGTATTCATTCTTCCCTTTGACAACTTCTTTCTTCCATTCCAAGTTTCCAACCCCACCACATGAATGACTCACCTTTTTTTTTTTATTTATTTTTTATTATTATATTTACTTTTTTTTTTTTTTAATTTTGACTAGCAATCCCACAACATGCAGAACTCTGTATGTACCTCTTCAACCGGTCTCACATCCCAAGCAACACCAATTACATATTACGACTCTTATGACGGTCATGTTTACTACCAATCGAACCATCCACCCAACTTCATTCCACCTTCTTTGAAATGATAGCTTAATGGAAATGAGGGTTTATGTATATCCCGTTACTCATTTAGACCTTGTTGTCGGAGGATGGGTACATCCTATATGTAAAGACACAATAGTGAAATGAATTAATATTTCGTAACTCAAACATCAGTCAGCAAAAGTGATAATACGCTACATATTACTTTGATTTTTTTTTTATTTTTTATTTTTTATTAAGCTTAATTTCGTACTAGTTCCGATCCATATCTAAATAGATCCTCCATTGGCTTAGACTCAACAAGAAATTACCCATATTTGAGATTAACATACTGGTAAACTGGTGGTCATGTGTCGTGTACCTTCTTAAATTTGGTATGAGCATCACAAGACATCCGGCACATTTTAACTAATTAATAAAATAATTAGAGATTAGTAAGAGGACCAATTGGCATGACATAACACGTGGGGCAGGACGTGTGCTCGTGTCTTGGCCTGTTAAATCAAAACTACTATAAATCTGACATGGCTTGAATTTTCCTCACTCAGCTCTTAAGGGGTCATTTGGTTGAAATGTAGCAATTGCAATTTCTTAAAAAATTTATTCTCATGTAATTGAACTTCCTATGAAATGCTAAATACGGAATAGTGTTTGGTTGACTCTGTGAAATGATCATTTTTATGGGTAGTTTCACTTACCCTAGATCTTCCTAGGTGATTAAAGTCCTTCATTTTGTACAAAGTGAAATTACTTCTAAATTATAAAAGATTTTCAACTTATAGGAATATCAACTTCACATGTTTTTATAACCAAACAATTATACAAATAAGGAATATTAAAATTAAAAAATCGTTTAAAGTAAAGGTCATTAGTTCACTTGATAAGGTTTTTTCCATGCTTTAGTGACATTACGTAGTACAAATTTACAAATACTCTATTGAACCAAGCAATAATAAGGGTTAATATTTCTCATGACCCATACATAGTCCAAATGGTGTATGTCTGAGAGTGAGGAATAACCCAAGTGATTAAACTTCCTTTCCGATTCTAGGAGATTCTGTGATCGGTTCTCACCTCCCGCCCTTTTAGCTCCCTAGACAAAAAAAAAAAAAAAAAAAGCCTTTCATTGATAAAATCCGTTAACGTGTTGGTCAACCAACATAATAAGTGAGTGAAACCCACTCGCTTATAACGAGAATATTGATAAACTGACAATGTACTCTCTTCCAACCAAACTCTAAACTCACCTTCCCACAGTTTTTATTCACTTTTCTCACCCAACTCACCATTTCCATAGCCCATTAAATTTCATAAAATAAAAACACATAAATTGTGAAATCGAACTCAAAATAAACTCTCCTCCTTTCCATTTCCACAATCAAATCAAAGTTAATAAAAGCCTCCCTCTCTCCCCACTCTCTCTCCTCCAACAATGGAAACCCAGACTCACACACTCCTCCCTTCTCCCTCCTCCTCCTCCAGCACCACTGTCTGCGGCGCAATCGCAATCGCTACTAAAACTCCAAAACAACAATTCCCCCTCACTCGATCCGAAACTAACCCTTACCCAACCACCTTCGTTCAAGCCGACACTTCCTCCTTCAAACAAGTCGTCCAAATGCTAACCGGATCCTCCGAACCCACCACCACTAAACCTAACAACAACATCCCACCCATCAAAACCCCTAACAAATCCAAACCATCCAAACTCTACGAACGTCGTAGCACCACTCTCAAATCTCTTCGTCTCTGTAATCCAATTCACTCTCCTCTTCGAACTAATAATAATAATGCTACTGAGATTCTTTCTCCTTCTCTACTCGATTTCCCGTCTCTCGTTTTATCCCCTGTTACTCCGCTCATCCATGACCCCTTCAATCGATCACCGATTTCTTCAGCCTCCTCGCCCTCTCCCAACGTAGTTGTCGATAAAGTTGCTGAAGATAAAGCCATTGCTGAAAAAGGCTTTTTTCTTCATCCTTCGCCCGTTTCCACTCCTCGTGATTCGGAGCCCCGTTTATTGCCTCTTTTCCCCGTTTCTTCTCCGAGGCTCTCCTCAGGTTCTCATCCCTCTTCTTAATTTTGTTTTTATTTTTTCTTTTTAATATGTAGTATATAAAAATATATAAATAGTTTTAATTATTATTTTCTAAATATTTCTATCTCTATCATGTAATGGGCCTAATCTACCAACTGTAACAAAGTGAGTGATGAAAAAAAAAAGTTGTTCACATATTTTTGAGGGTAATTTATTTCAATTGTATCCTTTTATCTTTGTTTATATTTTCTATGGTTGTGTTTTTTTAAATTTAGATTCAAGTCAATTATGCTTGTGGTAAACTGTTTTTGTTTCGAGGAAAGAAAATCAGACGGACAACCTGAATCATCCTTTCGTTCTTGTTACGTTAAATGTTGAATGATCATAGTAAAAAATTTAATAAAGGTTAATTAAAAAAAAAAGCTTGAAAATGGAAATTTAAGTTACTAAAATCGTTAATTGTACTGTACTATTTAGGGAAAAATTCACTTCAGATTTGAATTGTTGAAGTACAATGACAGCTCATGGTAAAAGTTACTGCTCTGTCTGTATTGAATTGTCCATTAAAGACGATCTATCCAAGGGTTTTTTTTTTTTTTTTTTTTTACAGCGCTACAGTAAAATTATTTATTTTATTTTGAAAAATCGGTAATTTAATTAAGTAATGAATAATAAAATTTAAGAATAATAAAAGGGGGGATTTGGGTTGAAGATTAAAGAGGCAAAAAAGGGGGGGTAGCTGTCAAAGAAAGAGTGGAGGGATGGGCAAGGAATCTTGACTGTGAATGTGTTGATTTATGACTTTTTCTGAGTGGAGGAAGTTGCCAAGTTGAAAATAGTGCATGATTTGTTTTTCTTACAAATACAAATACCCTTTCAGATATTATTATTCTTTTCTATGCTAAAGATATCTTTCTTTGACTTTGTGTGTTTGTGTTAGTCCAAAGGAAAGTGTCAAGCTACCAATTGAATTTTGGCTAGCCGGAAAATACTAAAATGTGGATTTTTTTTTGGATACTTAAAAGTATATATTTTTTTTTTAGTGTTTAAATAGTCACAAGGGCTAGTGATGAGAATCGATCCCACAATAACCTAAAATTGAAAGGGAAGCTTTAACCACTTCAGCTATCCCTCACTATCTAAAATAGTTTTGCATAGGTTGCGTTTTTGTTTGTCAAAAAATTTCCACCATTAGGGTGGAGAGCATAAGCATATATGCTATGTGCCTATGTGGCCACGCATGCTGCCCAAGTTTATTCGTGCGTGCTTGAGTAACATAGTGGGAACGGTTAGAAAATAGTAGCTTTTTTGTTGAGGGATGATGCTAATAGGAGCTTAGAAAATAGAAAGGGTGTTTAATAGAAAGCATTTTTGTTAAGCGATGATGCTAATAGAAAGGTTGTGTCAAGATTTAATGAGCAGAGAAGAAAAAACTGACAACATTATATGAGTAGTGTTGTTAGTCATTAAGACCTAAATTATTTGCTCTTAACTTGATTTCGTTTACCTTTTTTATTATTTTATTATAAACATATACTTATATTTGAATATATTAGTAGTAAAACTTATTTAAAAAAGTGAGACAAAGAAGGCCTTCTTATCAATGGATAAAATCAATGAGTAATTAGCTAAAGGAAAGGTAGCTCATTAGATTTAAATATCGGTTCACTTTCCTTGCCGTTCTTTAATAGAAGTTCTTTCACAAATTTGCACTCGTACTCTTTTTATTTTTAGCTTCAAAGGGATACTATACACTATACTCTCAAGTCAGAGTGCTTCATGTGACGCGGGAAGGCCTCATCTCTAGTATTGCTTCTATAACTTTTAGAGATGGAGAGAGTACTATTGGGGTTAGATTCTTGGTTTATGATAATTGTTTCAATTACTTTCATGGGCAATGTGGCTTGTGTGGATCTATAGTACAAATTCACAACCATATGCATATATGGTTTGAAACAACATAGTTCTTCCCACCCGCATGCTTATGCATTTATGCACCATGCATCCATGCCCACCCTAAATCAAAAGAGCATTAAGTTAGGCCTTCAACTCACCTTTAAGAGCCATAAATGCCTTCAATAGGTTGCACCAAAGCCAATGGATTATGTTGGAGACCAAACTTATTTCACCCGTATGTTATTAATGCACTGGGGTTCATGCCGTTCACCATTTAATTTAAAGATAGATAAAATAGAGCTAAATATAGAAAAAAAAAAAAATTGACATTAGTAGGGAAATTTTTTGAAAATGAAATGAGCACGTATATTATATATAAATAATCATGATCTCTTGCTATTCTACAAAGAATGGACAATTATATTCGACACATATATGGAAATTCCCGAACAAACGAATCGTTATACAATGCACGTATCTTAATTGATTTCGAAACTTGATTAATGAATTTTTTTTTTTCTTTTTTTGAATAATGATTAATGAATTTTAAACTTTAAGCATATAAATTTATACTTCTACCGTTACATATTAATTGCAACTTTGAGGTATTATTTATGAGACAAAAAAAAAAAAAATCAAAGTTGCAACTAATTTGTAACAGAGGAAGTATTTAGGTATAGGTTGATAAATGTGATAGATGAGAAATGTGAGTGATCTATGTGTAAATATTTGATTGAAAAGTGATTGAAAATTGAAAATTTATTTGAAAGAAAAAAATATTAGGAGGCTCTCTTAAAGAGGAAAACTCCTAATGCAATAGTATGTTCAACTTCTATAATCTTGGTATCTAAGTAAAAGTTATACTTCATACTACGAGTCTACGACATACAAGATTACTAGATACGGAGTAGTTTATTTGATTATGTTATGCTCTGTATAATAATTCTACTAGAAAAACCTTGAGCAATCTACACTATAATTGAATTTGTGAGACCCACATGTAATTTTCGGAGATTAAGAAATTAATTAATAATAGTTGAACGGCAAAGTGGCAAAGTAAAATCTCGATCATTATATTGTAACCTCACTTTCACGAAACCGAGTAAAATTTGTCCAATAATTGTAGGTCCATGTAATTTCCATTCATTCATGGTCTTTTATTCTATTCATTTTTCCGCATGTGGCGAAACCATCTCAAATTCACTATCTATGTTGTCCACAACGAAGGTTAATAAAAGAGAAAGACCTCTTGGAATAGTGGCCTAGAGGTCACCTCGTATTTTTTGAGGTGTGAAGCTCGATTCTCATCAAACACAAATCTTACGCCTAGGAGGGCAGCGCGCTTTGGGATGCGGAGGAGCTTTTATCGCCCAGCTCCCTAACCTAATGCGGCACCGGGTTCGGACCGCAGGGAACCGTAGCATGGGTCCTTACCTCTTTCGGTCATTGTCAGCTAGGCTTCCTGTGATAGGAGCCTTCGATTGAGGCCCAGTTAACCTTATCGTGTAAAAAAATAAAAATAAAAATAAAAAAAGTTAATAAAACATCATGCACAAAAAGTTTCATTCTATAATCTAAAATCTCACCCCTTTATTCTTCTCAAAATATCTTCGAATTCATTCCAAACGTAACTAATTCACGCCTTCACACGTGTCTCAAGTTCGTGTTCGTGTTCGTGTGGAGTGTGAACTACTTAAGGGACTCGTTATCAAGGCTCCCTTTTGAGTTTTGACTCTATAGTTGATACTAGTAGAAAATGAAAACGTGAGAAAGTAAAAGGTTTAGAGAAAGTGGGACTTATTAGTAGTGATGATGAAAGAATGGAAAAAGTGTGTAAAATTGAAAGTGATGAAATTCCAAACAAAAATTAAGGGGGTGGTGGGAGAAAAAGCCCAGAAAACATGGTGAGTAGGGCAGGGAGTGTCGTTATATTGTGTGGTCACTTAATTTGTTGTGTTTTGATTTGTATTTGTAATTTAGCGAAGACCTGGACCTTTTTTTTGTTTGGTGGGTCATTTAACTGGAAGTTTGAAACTTTCATATGCCACATTCCTATGCCGATCTTTTACCAATATTAGGCCCCGCTTTGTTTCATTCTACTTTCACATCGTTAACTCCGTTATTTATATAGAGTTAAAGGTGTGAAAAAATAATCCGACCTAAGAAACAGATTAACTTAACTCAAATTCGAGTTTATCTTAGAAATTAAGCATTTGAATCCGAAAATCCAAATGAATTAAGTATCTGAACCTGAACTCCAAATGAATTAATCATTTAACCTGTGAATCAAAGCATTTGAATACGAGTTTATCTAAGAAACACCGAATAGACATAATCCATTTATTTTCGTGAGCAATGTGAAGCAATGTATTGTTGATTTATAGTATGCCACAAATTACACAGGAAATCAAGGCAAGGAGGTTTAGGCACAGGAAATAGGGAGTACTCAATATTAGCCTAGGACAAGCAGTTAATTAACTTAGGACAAAAAGATTAATAATCTAATGGCAGATTGACACATAGCTCCCAACCTCTTGAAATAGAGGTGATTTCAAATGGGCCACTGCTGTCAGTCTTTAGGAAGTAAATAGTACTGTAGGAGTATTTAGCACAATTCTCAATACCTCTTGAATAGACTTGGTTATTGGGTAGGATTTCCGATGATATTAGGTCAGTGTCAAATTTAAATGACCATTAATGAGTTAATGGCTAAGGTCTTTAATGGATAGAGTCCTTATTGATAAGATTAATATCGGGCCAAAATATTTATTCAATTTAATAGATAAATAAAATAGATAATGTAAAAAATGTTACATAGATATTTTCGTATTCATATATACTTAATAATGACTTTGTCCAATATTTATTTTAATTAATACCCCATCAGTCCCTTATTTACATGTCTACTTTCCATTTTTCACGGGTATTATGTAACTTAGAGATTCCTTAAAACTCATGATTGGGAAGTACAAATATGTATGTGGGATTAGAGAGAGATAGAGAAAAAGAAAAAGTAGTTGGTAATTATTGAAAAGATGGATAGAGAAAGTGTTGGAAAATGATGTGAAAAGTACCAAAAAAATAAAAGAAAATTGATGACAACTCATCAAAAAGAGGGTATATTGACAAAAAGTACATTCTTTCAATAGAAATAGGCATGTAATTTTGAAACCCCAAAAAAAGAAAATAGGCATGTAAATAAAGGATGGAGGGAGTAGTTTGGTGGCTCGTTCGTTATCGATCCGCTATTGACCCACAACCCGCATTGATCCTACAAAATGTGACCTTCTTTGACTCGATCCGCAATCAACATGCACCGACTCTAACCCGACCCGCCCAATA